ACAAATGAGATACTAATCTGTAAGTTCACTTATTCTTAGCTAAGAGTCTATTTGGTGTTGTATGTAAATAGGCAAACAGGATGGGCTACAACTCTGAATTAAACTGTCATGGCCTGTCCTACAGGAATGTAGATTGGTGGGAAGTGATGGTAGATAAAAGACTAGTGAAAAAGACTACTTTTCCTCCGGTGCAGGGAGTTTTTATATCGACTCTTCTAATCATGAGGATGGTAAAAATTTTATACTTTTAACTGGGTTTAGAAGAGGAAGAATTATATAGTGTAGTGAGCCTCAGATCCCTTTTGGCAGGAAAGTGCCATGGCTGGGGTGGGGAAAGGGGTGTGGCATTGAAAATAATTTTATTTACTTGAGAGAGAGTGCAAGTGAGCACGAGTTGGGAGGGGAGCAGATGGAGAGAGGGAGAAGCATTACTGTCTAGTAATGGAGGAAAATAATAAAGCAATGAAATAAAAACATTACTTTGGCTGCTAGGTGGAGGATGGATCAGAGAGGGCAAGAAATGAGAGATAGATACAGAGTACTACAGTTGCCCAGAAATTAGAGGTGATGGTGGCTTGGATCAGAGTAGTGGCAGTGGAGATGGAAAAAAAAAAAAGGTATATGGATTTAGGAACTATTTTGGAGAGAGATGTGATAGGACACTTGCCAATGATTAGATGTGAGGGATGAGAGAGTAGATAAAAGATCAAGGGTGACTTCCAGGTTTCTGGCTGGAGCAGTTGACAGGACACTGGGCCATTTTCTAGACTGGGGTCTTGTTCTCTTCAAAGTTAGCACCAGTGACTTGGATGAAGGCAAATTCAAGATATGAAGCTTGATGAGATAGTTGATACATAAGTAAAAAAGATCAACAATTTTAAAAGATATCCCAAGACAGGAAAGACAAAGTATAATGGAAAAGTGCAGAATCCTTTCAAAAAAAGTATACACAGGATAGAACCAGGAAGAGTAGCCTAATATGAGTTTCCAACAGAAGCTCAATAAGAAAAGTGTGGCTTAGGGTGCCTGGGTGGCTCAGTTGGTTAAGCGACTGCCTTCGGCTCAGGTCATGATCCTGGAGTCCCAGGATCGAGTCCCACATCGGGCTCCCTGCTCAGCGGGGGGTCCGCTTCTCCCTCTGACCCTCTTCCCTCTCGTGCTCTCTATCACTCATTCTCTCTCTCTCAAATAAATAAATAAATAAATAATCTTAAAAAAAAAAAAGTGTGGCTTGGTTGCCGTAAAAATGAACACAAAAATAGGTTGCCTTCAAGGAAGCATGATGTCCAGCTCAAGTTAATAATCTTAACGTGCTTTGCGCTATTTGGACCAAAACTGATGTGATGGCATTGTGCTTTTCTTGGCACACAGCCATGACAAAGGATGGTTGAGGAACTGGACCATGACTGAGATGTAAAGAGCCTGAACTTCCCCATCACAGGATGAAAGCTGGAAGAATTGGAGAGGTGTAGGTCAGAGGGCACAATCTGAAAATGAGTGCCATCAGATGGACTGTTTGGTGGAAGAGGGTTTCGATTTCAAGTAGATTCAAGTAGGTCCAAAGGGTGCAATGGCAGTGGTAGTTTCAGCTCAGCCTCAGTTCCTGTGTGTGGCACTTTCCAGAAACAGGATGGGACCCAGGGGTGGCATATGTGTCCCCTGTGACACACCTTGCAGACCTGGATGCCTGTGTGTTGGATGTAGCAGAGAGGTTTCCTGTGCTGGGTGGAAAGCTGGACAGGGTGGTGTCTGAAGGTCCCTCCCTGATCTTGGAGTCTAGAATTGTTTCCTAACAGGCTCCTTCTCCGTAGGGGACACAAACTCTCCAAGGATGTCCCCGCACCACCTCTTTCTAAGTGTTGCTGACAACGTGAGGGTTTTCGGAAGTTCCTGACCACATTCTTCACTAGATAACTCCCCTGCCGTTGCTTCCCCAGTGCCCATGTCCAGGTTCAAGTTCTGGATCCCCTTCTCTTCAAGGCTGAACATAAGTCTGAAATACCAACACCTTGACAGCTCAGTTCCTATTGCTGACATTTAGTTGCCACCCAAACGCCTTTTTCAGCAAGCGGCTTTTGCCATAACCATATTAGAACTTGTTGTCAATGATTAGAAGTGTGAAAGCGAACATTATGTCTGGATGAGATGAAAAAAGGAATCACTCATGTTCCTCTTAGCACAGGAATACCGGTGTATATTTCTCTTCCAGCAAACCACAATAATATGTACAAATATCTAATTGGACAAATAGAGGTACAATCACGCTCAAGACAAGAGAAATGTTCAAATAAGTCATGACATTTCTTGCAAGTCATTCCTCCTGCTCTTTCTTCTTGATGTTATGTTTTGTGTCTTTGACATCCCTGTATGCCCTTAAACTATTCTAGCATCGTTATAGCCAGTTAGACAGCTTAGAGTTTCTTGCTAAGAATCTAAACAAGGAGATGCACTTCTCTAACTTTTAATTCCATTAATACTACTAGATATTTTTTATAGCCTAAAGCGGCCTTAAAATTTTACATACAGGTTTTGCCTCTTACAACCTGATAGAAAAAGGGTTTTGTTTTATGTTAGTTTTTGGTTTTCGAAGGGAAGCTCTATATTTTGGGAGGGATGGAGAAGACTGTCTTCAGAGGTCGGGTGGTTAAAGGCAGAAACTGTCAGACTCTCACCCCAGGTCCTTTAGTCTGGGGTGCAATGTTATGTCTCTTAAACACGGGAGCAGGGGGGTCATTTTCATCACAGTGGGAGGACCTCACTCTGCTGTTGGTAAGTGTGGAGGAGAAGATAGATGAACTCCCCGCTAATCTCTTCCCTGACCAACACTTTTCCCCCCCAGAAAGAGAAAAAGAGGTGATAGGAGTTTATGAAGAAATCCTTTACTTCTTGCCAAGGGCCACAGGTCAGCTGAGCATCACCTACAAGGAGATTCAACCCAGTAGAATGTGTTGGGAGGCAACCGTGTGCAAGAGCCATGTGGTCCCAGGGGCTGCTAACTGAGGGAATGGATGTTTCCTTATAATGTTTCTTTTGCTAATAAGTACCCAGATCTCCAAGGCTTAGGGCCTTTGGTTAATCATTAGGTAGACATTAGTAATTGTCCCTCCTGCTAGGCACATACTTCCTGCAAGGTCATACTCTCTACTCATTAGCCTGGGGCCTGGTGGCAGGATCCCCTCTCCTCTCCAGGTCAGTCCCAGAGGGATAGACTCAACAGGGCACGTGGTCACTCCAGAGCAGCAGAAACTTGCATCTCTCCTGTCCCCAACTGGAAGCCCATGCTAGTCCACATCATGCCCAAGTCCTCTGTGGCTTGTCATATGCACACGTAGGAGTTCCTGTTCATGTTCAGTGTCCCTAAAAACATGAGTGAACTCTGAGCAAAATTCGAAGCTTGCTTCTTCAGAATAAATATTGTTTATCTCTCACAAGGTGAAAGAAAAATCATACCACAGTTGGGTCCTGTATCTTCCTCTCTGGCAGAGCATATCAAATCGTGTTCCATTACATATCTCAGAACTACTGGATGAGTGAATAACTGCCTGCCCTCAGTTTCTCCTGTCCCTCAGCCAGAATAGATAATAAGGGACTTACCTTCTTAATCATCACCCTCCCACTCAGGATCTTGGCTAAGTCAATATATATCTGAATGCACTTCCTTACCATCATATCTTCACCTAAATTCCCGTTTTTATTAGCTGGTCAGTTTGGTCTTCACCCAGAGTGTTAGGTTTTCTGTTCTTTCTCCCAGTGTTTGTTTTTACCTCTGCTGAGCTCTGTCCCTCTTTTATGTTTTGTGACCAATCTCTGGCATTCTGTCTGCTCTGCAGTTGATCATTCTGTACTCCCCCATTGCATATAGGAGAAGCAAAATGCCGTAAGACATGAGAGAACCACGGAACTGTCTTTCTGCCTGGGGCAAGGGGAGTCACCTAAGGAGGTGACATTTGAGCTGGGCCCAAGGACAGTGGTTCAGTGGGTGTGTGGGCTGGGGGATGGGGTTGGGAAGAGAGAGCCCACACAGAGAGAATTGCATGATGCACCAAGTACCTCTCAGTGGCACTTGCTAGAAAAATCTTTGCCTTAATTACTCAAATGTGGAATCAATTGCACTAATATATTGTTCTAGGGATATATTTCCCTACATCAGGGAGTGAGTGGTTTCATTTGGGGGACTGGAATTTTTTTTTTCTTTTTAGCAAATAGGCTTTATTTTCAATTACCAAGTCTGTTTTAACCAAATGATTCAGAAATAATCTATGTAATCTCCCACATCATTTTAACTGTGCTTTTTCTTGAGGAGGGTTTGATAATGAGCCAGATGTACTAAAACAAAAACATGAGTTCGTCATTCAAAAAAGTCTTTTCATTTTGCTTGTCAAAATTTTCCCATCAGTTAAAAGAAGTGCTTAGTCTTTAAGAGGAACCAGGTGCAAAAAAAGTGAATTATCTCAGTGGTCCAGTATATAGATTCAAAAATAGCCACAGAGTAATTAGATGAAAAGAACCTTAGCCTTCATTTAGCTTGTGTCTATGTTATAGGTGAGGAATCTAGGGATGGGAGAAATTGAGCAAGTTGCCTAAAGTTACATGGTCATCGACAAGCCTTTCCCTCAGCCCCTCCCCGCCCCCAGCCCCACACCTCTTTCACACTTTCTCACATGGATGTAACAGAAAGTACATCATAGACCATAAAAGCTTTCTTTCATAATACTGTCTGAAAGTCATCTCAACTGAAATGACCTCAGAGAGCTATTTAGGCTTTGAATTAATGTAGAGGATTTGCACAGTTAGGGTTACTCAGATTCTAATGAGTAGCTCTTTATTTGGTAGAACATTTTTATTGAGGATTTTAAAAGAGGGTGTGACCAATAGTTTCCAAAATTTGGATGCTACCGACAAACAGTGTTAACCATATAAATAAGCCTTTGTCCTTCTAAAATGTAAGATCCAAGTATGTTCTTTTATAGTTATTACAAGACTTATTTTCTTTGCTTTAGGATACTTTTGACCTCTGTGACACTGCTATCTATATATTCAATAAACCTTCTTTTGATCTGTTCAAAGGAAACAGGTAAGCTGATAATATGTCTAATTTTGTTAAAGCCAGGGTGAATGATTTGCATGGTGATATTGTGGACGAGTGATATCCTCCCCATTCAGCAACTGATTATTGAAGAGTACTTTGACCTACAGTCCCTCAAAAACCTATGGTGGCATTTACCCAGAGAAATAGACACAGCACCATGGAAATTAAATTGTCTTGAACACTGAGAGAATAGTGTTGCCATTTAAAGCACACCCCCAATTATACCTGTTTTTCTAGTTTAAGATGACTTCATTTGAAAGGCTTCGATTTTTCCTTAGGTCTTTATAAATTCAGAACAAGGATCCCAAGTTTTGATATTATAGACTTTAAGATTTTAAAAGTAAACGGAGCTTTCATTCTCTTGTGTGTGTATTCCAAGGAGAAAATGTTACACCCGAGGCAATGTGGGAGCGAGGGTGCTGTGGAAAGGCTCCAAATTCTGGGGAGTGTAATACCTGAAATGTTTATTTTCTATTCCTGGGACAAATGGATTCTGTTCGTAATACTTTGACTTTTACCTTAGCTAAAACCACATTGGCCAACTATTACTGTACAGAGATGACTCCATTTAACTGGGACATTTTGTAATAGATTGAGGATCTACCATTGTCTTGTTTAAACACCAGTCTTATGAGAGATTAAACAAAGTTTTAATTATAGTCTGACCCATATTGCTTTCTGTGAACATTTTGAAAACGTGAACCGAACTATTATGAAATATAAACATGTTTTTTTAATGGATGGTTTAGCAGTTTAGTATTTATTGAGATGAGACAGTTGAACATGTTAGGATTTTGCTGTAGCCAAATTATTCTTTTGACAGATTTATCTATTGGTCTCTTTTCTGAGTTGCATATCTTTGAACTAAATTTTACAAATGATCAACGTTCTGGTGTTGACTATTATATGTTTGTTATTGTGTTTAGGACACATGAGGCATTCGTGGAATGTTATTAAAATAATCCCTTTTTAGCCTCATCAGTCCATGTAATTAATTCAAAAGGAAACTTTCGTCCCAACTATAAGGATATTTATTTTTAATAATTTTTTTTATTGTTATGTTAACCACCATACATTACATCATTAGTTTTTGATGCAGTGTTCCATGATTCATTGTTTGTGCATAACACCCAGTGCTCCACGCAGAATGTGCCCTCTTTAATACCCATCACCAGGCTAACCCATCCCCCGACCCCCTCCCCTCTAGAACCCTCAGTTTGTTTTTCAGAGTCCATCGTCTCTAATGGTTCGTCTCCCCCTCCGACTTACTCCCCTTCATTCTTCCCCTCCTGCTATCTTCTTCTTCTTCTTCTTTTTTTTCTTAACATATATTGCATTATTTGTTTCAGAAGTACAGATCCGTGATTCATCAGTATTGTACAATTCACAGTGCTCACCATAGCACATACCCTCCCCGATGTCTATCACCCAGCCACCCAATCCCTCCCACCCCCGACCACTCCAGCAACCCTCAGTTTGTTTCCTGAGATTAAGAATTCCTCATATCAGTGAGGTCATATGATACATGTCTTTCTCTGACTGACTTATTTCACTCATAATAACACCCTCCAGGTCCATCCACGTCGTTGCAAATGGCAAGATCTCATTCCTTTTGATGGCTGCATAATATTCCATTGTGTATATATACCACCTCTTCTTTATCCATTCATCTGTCGATGGACATCTTGGCTCTTTCCACAGTTTGGCTATTGTGGAAGGATATTTATTTTTAAGTCAAATCTTTACTTTAATGATATGCACCAGACTGAGAAGGAGATCAGAGTAGGAATTTCCCCCCTCCTCCCCAAGTAGGAAGAGTCTTCGAGATAGTTAAAAATAAGCCTTTTATGACCTAATAATTGAATTGTAAATGCTTTTGTAGCCAACCTGAAAAAGGAGAAATGGTGGTCATGTCTGACATTTTAAAATGTCACGAGGTTGCAACACCTTACCCTTGCAAAGCCCAAAAGGCTATGTGTGTGATTTTGAGAAAGACAGAATAACTTGGGGAATAGTCCATAGAATGAGGAAATATTGGCTTTCTTTAACTTTTAGATCCCTGTGTCATTTCTTGTGTTCTCAACTATGATTTTTAAATAGGCTGCATGGTTTATGAAAAGCTGGGAGAACAGGTCTTTGGCACCACAGGGAAGCTCGTAATCTTCGGAGCCACCTCTCTACAGAACACTGGAGGTAAAAAGAACACGCTTCTCTATACATAACTTTAAAGTATGTGAATATTATTATCTTTTCTAATTCTGGTGGTTGGGTGGCCGCATGAATTTTAACAAAATGGAAGCAGTATCGTTCTCATTGCTAAAATGGCACATGGAAAGTAAGGCAGAAAGTAAGAGCAGTCACTCATTTAAAACCAAGTATACTGAGTAGCTAAAACTGTCTTTGTGTCTTACTGAAGGTCAGTCTAAGAACAGGCTGGTAGCCTTTTATATAGCTTGCAACATGAGCCTTAGTATCTTCTTTCTAAAAATGTTCTCATTTTCCTCTAGCAATGCTGAGCTACCTCTTCATAGTAAAAAATGAACTACCCTCCGCCATAAAGTTTCTCATGGGAAAGGAAGAGGCATTTTCGTAAGTTATAGATCATTTTTTTGTAAGATAACGAAAATATTTTTAATGTAAATGTGGGCTAACCAAAGTTTGTGTTTTATGAAAACTGGAGGCACCTGAGTTTTCCCTGGGTTGTTTTTTTCTTACTTTGTTGTTCCATCAAATTTCTCTGGGGCTGTTATATAAATGAAAGCCATTTGACTCTGAGCATTTAAAAGGTAGATTTATCTGTCAGGCTGCAAACAGTAGATGCTGCTTCTCCCAGAGAGCCTGAAATCTATATCTAGTTTCTACAAAACAGAATGGATACAGAGTATTTTTAACACAGACATATATTTAACACAGAAGTGGAACACGCAAAAACATTAAGACCCTAGTCTCTTTCTTAAAGAAGGGAGCAAAATTTACATGAGCTGACTTCATTAAAGATAAGCTTGGAAAATGTTGGAGCTACACCTGGCACATCTGCTGTTTTCACTCCTTCTTGTTTAACAGTTCTTGTCAGTCTTAGTTTTTCTGTTTTCTTTCAAGGGAGAATCATAAGAGCCAGAGTTCCTCTTGTTCTGTCATCAGGACTCAAGGTCAAATACAAGAGGTTAGGGAGAAAGCGATGCCTACCTGTGTTGACTTGTTTTTCAATGGTATTAGCCAAGCAAAACAAAAAGGAACTTCTCCTTAAATAATTGATAAGACATGTTGTAATCTGACAGGATGCAGTGTGTGCATTCAGCTTTGAAACCACGTAAATTATTCAGAGGAATGCCACATTTAGCTGATGGGGGAGGGAAAAAAAATCCCTTCTTCCATCACTTGGGAGAGAGACAATAGTAAATGGGGGGGGAGTGGTTGGGTTAAAGTGTTTGGATAAACCTGAATAATGATAGAAATTAATGGTAAAAATTAATAATAGTAAAAACTCATTAAAACATATTGTGAAATTTTACATTTGAGAAAAAATGTGACTTTCTACGGAAATATGACCCAACCACTTAAATGCCTTTTTCAGAGCCTGGTATGTGGATGGCCGAGTTCTGGTGGTGGTAGTTACTTTTGGCATAATCCTCCCTCTGTGTCTCTTGAAGAACTTAGGTAAGGAAAGAGCTTGCTTTTATCATAGTCTCTACAGTGCCCAAATGAGTCAGAAACCTAATAAAAATGAACAACTTTGCCCCCTCTACTTTCACTTGTAGGGTAAAGATTAAGTGAATGATAAATTACAAGTATTAATCAGGCTTGACTTTAATATGGGATAAAACCACTGGTCAGTATGTGACCTCCTAAGCAATCCCTCTACTGAGCTGTAGAGGGGGGCGGTGAGGTTCTGGGGCCAGCAACAGACACAGTGCCATATCCAATAGCACAACTTACAGGCTACTCTGAGAAAAGTACAGAAAACGGAATTCTCCTTATACAAGGTCTTAAGTATCCTGATTATTTAGAGAAGTAGATTTTCAAATCTACTATCAAAACAGGAAGTTGCTTATATTTATCCCCTGAAGTATTATGAATCACTCTTAAATTATCAGAGTCTAACCAAGCTCAATTATTTGCTTCACTGAAGGGAAAGAGAGAAGTGAAAAGTCAAAGGCTGCAGATAATCACCAAGTCCTATCCACTTGCTTTTGACATTTTTTGTGTGTATGTTTGTGTTTGGAGACAAGTGTGTCTCATGTTGTGGGAATTGTATACATTGAATAATGTGGCCAGACTGCAATCCAGTCCAAAACGCATTTCCTTTAATTCTGGGCTAATTCAAGGAAGACATTTAGATTAAAGTTCTTCCCCCAAATGATTGCTAACCATAGTGTTTTGTTTTGTATGAAAAATATCAAGCCTCCGTAGCTGTTATGTAAGATCTAGAAGTAGATCTTAAAAACGACTTAACTTTCTGGTTTCTAGGTGTGTGTTTTGGCTTCTCTGTATATATACATGTAGCTCTTTTCAGATTAAGGAGGGAAGGGCTCTTCTTCTCCAGGGATGAGAATAGTGCAACCTGCCAGAGACCACTTACTCTGCCTCTGCCTTTGTGGAAGTTACAGTGGTTGGGGGACTTCAAGGGGAGCAAGGTGAAGATCCCCAGATGCTCAATTTATTCCTAGAAATCACTTCATCTCCTCTCTGTATGCCCCTCATCTGGGACGAGAAGTATTACGTACGATATTCAGTACGTACACAATAAGTCCATAATAAAGAACTATCGAGTAGATCAAGGAGTAAATGCATTTGGCCGTAAGACTCCATCAGAGTAGATGGGGCGCCTGGGTGGCTCAGTTGTTAAGCATCTGCCTTCGGCTCAAGTCATGATCCCAGGGTCCTGGGATCGAGCCCCGCATCGGGCTCCCTGCTCCGCGGGAAGCCTGCTTCTCCCTCTCCCACTCCCCCTGCTTGTGTTCCCTCTCTCGCTGTCTGTCTGTCAAATAAATAAATAAAATCTTTAAAAAAAAAAAAAAAGACTCCATCAGAGTAGAGCAACAGAGAGCTCTGGTCAAATTTGGGAGGCTCTTTTTTCCCTGTCTGGGAATCTGCATTGTCTAGTGTATCAGGGAAAACGGGAATCAAAGCGGTAATATAATATTTTTATTTAAAGTCACCATTATTTTGCCAAATAAAGGAGCACTCTCAAGTAATAAATCTTATATTCACATAGGCATATTTGTATATTATTGGAACTATGCTGGAAATAATGCATTGAGGGATGCCTGGGTGGCTCAGTTGTTAAGCGTCTGCCTTTGGCTCAGGTCGTGATCCCAGGGTTCTGGGATCGAGCCCCACATCGGGCTCCCTGCTCGGCGGGAAGCCTGCTTCTCCCTCTCCCACTCCCCTTGCTTGTGTACCTGCTCTCACTAACTCTCTCCCCGTCAAATAAATAAATAAAATCTTAAAAAAAATAAATAATGCATTGAAAGAAACAAGGTGATACGTGAAATAATAACAATAAATTTTTTCAACTTTTCTTTTAGGGTATCTTGGCTATACTAGCGGGTTTTCTTTGAGCTGTATGGTTTTTTTCCTGATAGTGGTAAGTGCTGATGAAAATGGTTGGCTTGGTTCTGCCATAGTACAATGCCATGCAGCAGTTATTCATTGTTTGCCTTTATTTGATAATGTCTATATTGTTTCTCCTATATTTCTTAATACCAGGTTATCTACAAGAAATTTCAGATTCCCTGCGGTGTTCTGGAGCTAAATTCAACAATAAGTGCTAATTTAACGAACCCTGACATGTGTACGCCAAAATACGTCACCTTCAATTCAAAGGTAAGTTTCCTTATCTTTTAAATATAAAAAAGAGCATTTTACTAAGAGCATTATCGTTCTCATATTTGTTGTAATTAAACTGCTTTGAAAGTATTCATTCTCAATAGAGCACCATACCACTGCTTCCCAAATTCCATAATTTGGAGACCTTTGAGAAATAGGCAAATATTACATTTCATGTTTCCTCTTATCCAGTTTACATAAAGGACAACCTTAAGCATTCTCCGTGAAAATCTCTTTCTGGATCATTGTCTCAGCTCCTCTCTTCCTTGTAGATCTTTAAAAACAGATTAATGCCATCGTTAGTGCACTGCTCTTCCCTGGTGGTGACAGAAAGGCATCCCTCAAGTTTCCCCAGCTCACACAGTTGAAATACAGATACCAAAATACAGATACACAAATTGACGCTTAGCAAACTTTCATATAGTTGGGATGCTGCTAATAGCATGGAGAACAGTGGACTATGGAACCAATCACGCTTGGATTTAAATCCTTCCACAAGTTACCAAACCCCATGTGAAAACAAGGATTCTGTTCTGTCTCTCACAGGGTTTTTTTTTTTTTAGAATGGGCCTGGTCCAGTGCTTGCACAGATTTAAAGCATGAGAAATGTTACTTTTCTTCCTTTTTTTTTTTTTGCATCAGAAGTTGTATTGAGTTTGAGAGTTTTAAAAAGTCTTATCTAAGAAAACTAAAGAGATCTCTCTCTCTCTCGCAACTCTAAGGACACAGCCAAAGTAGTGACTGAGGAAGTAGTTGTCTTTTTAGATGCCATCTTTTAAGTCTGATTTGATGGGCCCTATAGAGCAAAGAGCAGTGGAACAGAGATAGGAGAAGTCCTGGGCGTGTCACCTAACCTGTTGGAGGGAGTTGGGAGAGCATCAGTGGTCTGTCTACTGCTCAGGGTTGTTGTAGAGACTCCGTGAAATAATGCAGGGAAAGTGCCCGGTGACTGGCCAGTGCCATGTAAATATGGGATGATGCTTTGCCTGAAGCAGTAAAATAGAATGTAGGTGAGGCGAACCTAAAACCCCTGTGTGCCAAGTGCCTCACATCTCAAGCTGGATAAGCTCTCTTAGAAAGGCTGCTTCTATTTTTGGTATCAAAGCCCTCCTAATAACCGAATAATCCAGGGATTCTGAAGAGCTGTCAGACAAAACGACAGCGCAGAAATATTGGAGCGGAATACTTTTTAGAGTAAAAAATGCTTCTTCTTAATGTTTATTTTTCTCTTTCAAATAGACCGTGTACGCTTTACCAACCATTGCGTTTGCTTTTGTCTGCCACCCGTCAGTCCTGCCAATTTACAGTGAGCTTAAAGAGTAAGAGATTTGCTTTTTTTATCTTAATTATTTTTTACATCCCCTCATTAGTAGGCAAGTACTGTATTAAAATAAATAGATTTGTATAATGAACCCCCATGGACCCATCAGCCAGCCTCAAGATTTACTTTTGGCCATTCTTGAGCAAGTACTGTATTAAAGGAAAAAAAGAACAAGAAAAACCAGAAATCTGCAGTTTGTTTTGGCTGTAAATATATAAAGTGGCCAACTATGTGGACTTTTTTTGTTAAATTGGTTTTTCGCATACGATATTACTTAGGAGAGTTCAAGTATTTGTGTTGCTTTATGTCACTTATGCTTATTTTGCAAGTGTGTAATAATAATCAGATTCATGTATAAACTGCAGAATGTGTTGTGTCTGATTTGCCTCTTATTGGTTTGAGGGAAAAGGCTGTGAAATCAGGCAGAAAGAAATTAATGTTAAGGCCACAAACTGGCCAAGAGAATATTATTGTTCATTTTAAACTATTAAGATGATTCTATGGATTTTTGATTGCTGTTTTAGAGAAAACTAAAGTCCTGCTTATAAATTTCCTCCTGGGTTCTCATTTTAGCCTACTGTTAGCAGACTTTACAGATCAAAATAGTCTTCATGGCATAGTCTTAAGCTCAGAAAAGATATACAATATAGCTGTCTGTTTCCATTTTGAAAAATAAAGTATCATTTAGCATTGATTCACTCATGACTCTTCCTCTTTCATATTTAATTGATATGGGTAAGTTTTGAAATATCTACATCTACCTATGTGTACGTCAATCCTACCTTATAATCCTATACTTAGGACATTTAAAAGATGTCTTTGACATCTTTTAAATGTAATAGTCCAGCTTTTAGTTTGTAATTTTCTGATGTGTGTACCTCTCAATTTCTCCTGTTATGACACAAACAAATGTTATGACTATCGTGGTCTGTTGTTGAGTACAAGTCTTATAGATGAATTATTGGGCCATTAAAGAAACTTAAAGTTTCACCCAAACTTTCAGATTAAACTTGACTTAAGAGATAGAGCCCTTCATCATCACAGTTGTGATCACTTGGGGTACTTATTGCTCTGGAAACATAGACTTCCAGGTGCATCCCTGAAGCTACTCAGTGGGAAAAAAGGAACCTAAATAAGAGCTTTAGCAACAGAACACCTGAGGTCAAGTTCTAGCCTTGCCCCTGATCGCTGGGAGATTTGAATTTATTCTGCCCTTTCCCCGTACATACTGAGTGTGGAGATAATATCAAAAACAAATATTAAAAAATATTCTCTGCCCTCAGATGAGAACCTGATATTCTTTCAAAAGAATGGGGAAGGACATTTGAGGGATTGGTAGTGGTAGTGCCATGAATCTCCCTCTCACAATACCGGTTTGGTATAAAAGAAGTTATTTTAAATTGCTGGGGGCAGGGGAGGTGGAGGAGGGGTAATCTCAGCTGGTCATATTTTCCCTAGCCTGATAGAAAGTTGTTCGTATTCAGTGTTAACACCGGTACTTAAATTCAGTAACATGGTTTTTAATTTTTAAAATTCCCTTATCTTTGTTCCTAGTCGATCACAGAAAAAGATGCAGATGGTTTCCAATATCTCCTTTTTCGCCATGTTTGTTATGTACTTCTTGACTGCCATTTTTGGCTACTTGACATTCTATGGTAAGTGACTTATGTTAGCACATAAATAGAGGTATTTGTAAATAAATTAGTGAAAATCAGTATCCAAATAACTTTTAACATTTTTAAAGAGATTTATGTATTTATTTGAGAGAGAGAGAGAGTATGCACGTGTGGTGGGAAAGGGCAAAGGGTGAGAGAGAATCCTGAAGCAGACTCCCTGCTCAGCCCATAGCCCAATGCACGCGGCTCAATCCCAGGACCCTGAGATCATGATCTGAGCTGAAATCAAGAGTCAGCTGCTTAACCGACTGAGCCACCCCAGCACACCAATATCCAAATAACTTTTAACACGATAGCCCCCAAAAAAGCAACAAATCTACCCATTGATTTTGCTGGTCTTTTCTTCTACATAAAGCAAATGGTGATGATTCCTTTACATATTTGTGCAGACAGCACAATAGAATAATTACTGAAACAAGATACTGTAATTTTTTTCTCCTAATACTGTCCATAAAAGAAACTGCATTTTATAAGCATGCCACCTTTACTGAGGAAAGTTTAAAACTAGACCAGAGAAGGCTCTCCTAATTGCTGTTGCGAATTGAGTCAGATTCCATTAATAGAGAAGAGAGACAGAGACAGATGTTGAAAGTGAGGAAAGAGCAGAGTGCTACACCCATGACACTTGTGTTAATTAAAAATAAAACGCCTGATTGTTCACTGGAAGTTGGAGCCCTGCAAAGATTTGAAGGAATGGCAGAGAAGTTTCAAAGGAATGAAATCTGAAAAAGAGAACAACTGGGTTTCATTTGTAACTTATTGGCCCTGTACGGATAGTTTTCCTTCTTTTATTAGGTCTTCATCCTCTCCTATTCAAATGACCCTCAAGCTGTATTTAACATCTTTTATTACCATTATAATTTGGGACCTGATTTAAATTTAAACACATATACTTCACATTGTTCTCTATTAAACAATATTTCTTTGAGGCATTTTTTTTTCCATAAACACAAATGTCTCAAAATTTAAGCTCGTTTGGAGATGATTAATTCAGCCTGGAGAGCATGGCTACCCTGGTTATACAGTTGTATTGTTACTATTTTCACAAGCAATGGCAGACAGCATTGTCTGATGAATCCATAAATGCCACGTTGAAGTTTGGCATAAAAATAGTGTTTCTAGATTTCCTACAGAGTTGCAGGGCTGGGGGTAGGTAAAACGAGGGAGAGCTTCATGTTCGTTGAACAATCTCACTGTTGTCCACGCCATGAGTTTTCTTCGCAAATCCATAGTTTCCCCCCCCATAAAATAAAATGCCAAACCCTTTTATACTCTTTGGTTAAAGAAAAAGGCTCAGCTATTTTTAGATGGTTATAAATCTTGACTCAAGAACATTAGAACTAGTGAGATTTTTATTATAACCTAGGCTCCCTTTTCCAAAACTGGGACCAATCTATGGCACAGAATAGAATTGGAATTCTACCCTCGGAACCTTGAGACTGGTACGGTGAGAAGGCCTTATAGGAGACATGGCAGGAGGGGAAGAAGCTCTTGTCAAAGCAGTGAGCATTTGCAGGGACTGCCATTAGAGCTTTGGTTGTCTTTGAAATCACGTTCGGAAGTTCAGAGTTAAGAAAAAGTTCAAAGTGGTACATAAGCTAGATACTTTTTTTTTTTAATAAGAAAAGCATACATGGAAGAGAATTCTTTTCTGCTGGTGGTGAAGTTCATTTGATGAGTGGCACCAAGTGGGGGAAAGTCTAGATTAAGAAGGGTTTTGTGCAGGTCACCTGGGTGGCTTGTTCAGTTAAGCATCTGCCTTCGGCTCGGGTCATGATCCCGGGGTCCTGGGATCGAGTCCTGCGTCGGGCTCCCTGCTCATTGTGGGGGGGGAGCTGCTTCTTCCCTCTGCCCCTCACTCCACTCGTGCTCTCTCTCAAATAAATATAAAATCTTGAAGAAAAAAAAGAAGAAGGGTTTTGTGCTTCAACTGTATGTTCCTTTTAACCCCAGTTTACGCCTAGATTGAATTCAGTATAAATCGAGCATCCCCACACTGTGTAGCTGCTTCTAGCAATGACTGTAAATTCCTCTTAAAGTTACATATGGACAAGCGGAGCCTGTCTCACACAGGGCATTTTTCTTCTCAACTTCATAAATTGTTTTAATAGTTACTTCAACACCCAGAACATTGCTTCCCTTGCCCTTTATTTAGGTTGCAAGTTCTTTGTTGTTCAGATAAACTGTCATTCAGCAGTGTGCCTTGTTTCTTTCTCAATACTCTCTTTTTCTCGCTTTAGAAAAGGTGCAGTCAGACCTCCTTCACAAGTACCAGAGTAAAAATGACATTCTCATCCTGACGGTGCGGCTGGCTGTGATTGTTGCTGTCATCCTCACGGTGCCCGTGTTATTCTTCACGGTGAGTAACGGGCCTCAGGGCCCTATAAGAAAAGCTGAGGTCCCGCCCTTCCTTCGTGTTCCGAGCCTGCTCCAGAGAAAGCCTGCTGCGGGAACTTCCCGGTGTCGCTGGAACGGTACCAGGGAGGCATCCCCAAGACTCGGTTAAGGGTCTTTGGAAAGAGTAGGGTCAGTGAGAGAGGGCGGGCTCTGCTGGGATGAATCTTAATTCTCATTAATCTGTTCCTTCTTCACAAAGAAATGCAGACAAAGTGTTTGGATCTTGCTTGTGCATGATGAGAGAACAGAAAGGGACCGGAGGAGCATACTTAGTCATAGATAAAAACGGAAATTATCCCCCACCAGAGCAAATGGAAATTATCCCCCACCAGAGCAAACCTATTTGTAAATAAATATACTTTCCTTAAGTCAAGCCCCCCTGCCTATAATACTGCACAATGTTTTACAAAACATTTCCCAGATTCCTGTGCACCAGGACGTGAGTTTCTGCTGAGGACGCGAAAGTTGGCATGCTGGGGTCCTCACAGAGCCTTTGTTTTCTTTTCCTGTAGGTTCGTTCATCTTTATTTGAACTAGCTAAGAAAACAAAGTTTAATTTATGTCGTCATATCTTGGTTACCTTCATACTCTTGGTTATTATCAACTTGTTGGTGATATTCATACCCTCCATGAAGGACATTTTTGGGGTCGTAGGTACGGCTTTATGAACTTTACACTTATCGTTCTACAACAGCTGTTTAGAAAGCTAAAATTTCATTGTAACAACTTCCTTTTTTTTTTTTCTTATTTTACAGGAGTCACATCTGCTAATATGCTTATTTTCATTCTTCCTTCATCTCTTTATTTAAAAATCACAAGCCAGGATGGAGATAAAGGAACTCAAAGAATTTGGGTATGTCTCAGGCCAGCCACTCTAATTTTTCTGATTGGTTTTTCATTTAAATTTACCAAATGAATAGTCCACCTAATCCTACTTTTAGCAGCCTCAGAGGGGGAGCAGCAGTCCTGTAGTTTTCCCCTTTGGGAGATTTAAAATATCGTATCAGACTCTGATCTGTTCTCTCAAAATGTATTACTCTCACTGTGCCTTAGCCTTTGCTCTAAGCTAGGGTAGGGCCATCTGGGAAACTGGACGTTTGTCATCCTGCGTCTCTGTAAGGCGATGCCTTGTCTTTAACAAGCTAGGAAGGGGAAGGGGACTCGAAGACTTAATGCAGCCCACTGTTTCTGTACCATTCTTAGCCCCGTAACTCCCTCCGACAGCCCAGGGCACATGGCATGTCTTCATTAAAACCGCCGAGTTCGCTTCAAGAGCCTTCTTATGATTTGACAGAAATATTTTGGAACAACAGACCTGGATTCAGAAACTACCTTTCTGTATTGGGATTCCTGTTTCCAGGTCTGGTGAAGTTCAAAGGCATCTTGAAGGTGGTGCACTTGGAGCGAGTGAGGGAAGCAGGGGTGATGTGGCTACTGCCTGAGTACCTCCTGGAGCACCATTTTGTTTGGCCTCGGAGAAGGCTTCTCAGCCACCCTCCCAGATAGTGTAAGCGCTCCAGTTGCACACATGACCCAAGTCAACAGACCTGGGTGAGAGTTGCAGGCAGGAGGGATCATCCTTGTGCATTTAGGAGAAGCAACACTGATGCTGGTACAGCATCTACTTCCCCAAAAGGATTATCCCTGAAACCGTAAGTCCCAAGTCCTTCTAACTCATACCAGTAGGGGAGGGGCTCCACAAGGACAGAGAAGGAGCAGTTACTCTGGCATAGCAGTAAAATATATTCAGATTAAATCTGAAAGTGCTTAGAGGCCTGTTGCGCATGAGTTCTCTGGGCCTCCCCAACCCTGCTCCTTCCTTAAAACTAGATTCTACTGGTAGTAGGATCTAGCAGATAACATTAGACAAGGGCTCCTGTCCATGTGGGGCCCCACGGGGAGTTAGACCAGACCTATGATGGAAAGCTTGTGTACAACCCCATTTGCCTCTTCTCCTTCCCTTAGCTCTGCCCTCCAGGTTCCAGTCCAGCCCCCTTGGGTCTCATGTTACTTCGTCCTTCTCCCTGCAAAGCTCTTCTTGGATACTTTGAAGGCCAAGCAATTTCTAATCTCATGTTCTCCAGATTCTGGTTTTAGTAACTCGTCCCCCCTTCTGGCCTTCCTCAACCCTTACAATAAGTTAGTTCTGGACACCCATTTCCTATTTCACTTGATCAAATCGACTTTGCTTTTATATATCTTTTTTCCCCACTTTTTCAGAAAGAAATGTTTGCCTGCCACTGATAACCTCGGTTGGTTGGTAAAAAGTAACAAAACAACCTCTATGTTTTCAAAGGCCTTTTTTTTTTTTAGTTGTAATCTTAGTTTGAAAGAAACTGTAAGGATACCCAGTGAGTTATAGAATGGATTTGTTCTGAGATGACCGTGAAGTCAAAGAACAAAATGTGGAGGATGGCCCTGCATAGCTAGTTCTTGTTTTCCCATCCTTGGAGAATCAGATCCTTACAATCTTGGAATGATTCTCACTGTTCAGCAATGGTTGTAACAAACTCCAAATACAAGGGGACACAAAAAGAGAGGGAAAAGCATTTCTATTTTTTTTCCAGGTGTATGTGGGAGATGTTGGCTTCCCTGAAAATAACCCATGCCTTTATGTTGCTCCAGGCCGCCCTTTTCTTGGTCCTGGGGGTGTTGTTCTCCCTGGTCAGCATTCCCTTGGTCATCTACGACTGGGCCTGCTCATCAAGTAGTGACAAAGGCCACTGAGACCAGCTGAGGACAGGAAACGTTCCGGCCCGCAGCTCGGTCACATCACCACACATCAGCAATCTCTCATCACTTCTTTCGCAAGTTTACAGAAGCAAAACAGAAATTCACAAGATACTTAAAATGGAATAACACTTCGGTAGCAAAACAGAAACCTGTTTCTATAATGGTTCCTGTCCCCCTAAAAGTTGGGATCAATTTAAGGATTGTGGTTTTTTTTTTTTTTTTAAGTTTCATGCAATTGTATTTCTCAGTACTCTTCACAGTCAGTTATTTTTCACTGTCCTAACTCTATTTTTTGTGACTTCATGGTCCCTTAGAATTTTGAAAACATAATCATTGATCATGTTTATTTATTATGCGTCCAAGGTTCTGAAATAATTTTCCTGCCGATGTTACGCTCATGCCATTGGTACCTTTTTAGAAGAGAAAAGAATCTCGAATTGTATATAGTTATTTTGCTTTACAGAAAAAGAAAATGGTTTCATAAATATTTTGCCTACTTTGGTTAACATAGCACACAGGGATAATCATGAGAGAATGACGGGGTGAGTGCCGTTGGGGGATCAGAGCCTACCCAACATTTGAGGTGGCCCTGATCAACCTGGCAGCCAGGCTCTGGTGGCCCAATGGCCTCACTGGTACTACATCCTGCTTCAGTCAGAGACCTTCTCCAATGAGTGTTCTTTGCTGGAAAGGGGGTGAGAATGATTTCTTACCTTGGTAAACATCTTAAACTACACATTTGGGTTATCTAGCAAATGAAGTTTTGTTTCCCTCTTGGTCAGTTGTGTCAAAGTTACTCTAATCTGAGTCACCTTCCACTGAGGGAGACCCATGACACCTTTGTAATAAATCGAGAAGCACGAGTATTGCAAAAAGAGCATACAAAATGCCTAAGAAAATATTCCTGTGATGCAAATAGCCTTCAACCCTACATCTTTAGTGTTGAAGGGAGAAAAAACACTTTCTTAAATTATAAACCCAGCAGCTTTTACTCATGTCCACCAGCTTTTTGCACAGGGAATAATGTGTATCTAACCAAGGATGATCTAGGATAAGTAATTCCTGTTTTATATTGGGTACTTTAGGGGGTCTTTAAAAGACTTGTTTTATATCTATAAATTTAGGTTATTACAAATACAAGATTTTTGTACCTTAAATAAGCCTCATTCCTATTTCTTCTCCATTAACAATCCACTCAGAGTCTTGAAAAAAAAAAAAAGGAAGGGAAAAGAACCCTCAGAGATAGCCTTTGAGAAGAACTTGTGACAGAATCAGTGTACCTTCCTTCCCTCAGATGGGGACTTTGGTGCCTGAGCTGTCGTCTCCTCTTCTTGTCCCTAACCAAAGTGTGGGCCATTACCCTGCCCAACATGACCCACACAAGAGGACAGAGTTGCCTCACACTCCTACTCTAGCCCCACTATCTCCTAAAGGGGGTGGAGGGAAATTACACAGAGACTGAAAAAGAAGAGAGTTGGGGACAAGGCATAGCTTGGAAAGTTGGGGGACAATAAGGAAACCCAAAACCGAATCCTCCCGAAGCTGGACCATCACCTGTGATTGGACTGTCTCTATCACACAGTAAGAAATGTTTGTGCTCTGTGAGCTGGTCTCTTGAAATAGGACTTGTGTTTTATTTATATTCCAGTTGAATTTCTCAAACACATAGTTCACCAAGCACAGATTTCTTATCCAGAGATAAGTAGAATCTAATCACAGACTCTTGGCAGGATTTCCAAGCACTTAGCTCTGGGTTCTGTTCCTCCCTCACTCAAATCCCCAAAGGCCTTTGCTCACCATTCACTGGGAGTAACAAGGAACTGTCCCCTCCCCCTTTACAGACTAATGTCCCATAGAAAAGGCAGGCATCGAAGCACCTTGTTGTGATCCTCTTGGGGGAGAAGGAAAGGTTATTTCCTGCATTTCTTGGTAGGATCATCATAGCTTTTAATGTACTGCTCCAGAATTATATCCTTGTTAGGTCAGAGTTCAGGTAATTAGATATGAATACCTACCCATACGTGACTACCTAACCTAGTAAAGTCCATAGCCACCTCTGTCCTTTTCAGCAATGTCTTCCACATTGGATGAACAGGGAGAGAAACTGAGCAAAACAAGTCTGTTGGCCCTGGGAGCCTTGTCTAGGGCACCGAGTAATGAAATAGCCAGGTAGTGGACTGACCCTCCATTAAAAAAAATACCTAGTTGAGTTTGCAAGTGATATTATGCTACTTTCTATTTTCCTCATTAATTTATAACAATTCATTCTACACTTTACACAAAGTCAACTTAGAAAATTATCATTAACTCTTGGGATGGGTAGTGATATTTTTGGATCTCTGGATTTTATGTGTCAGTACAGGGAATTTTTATTATTATTTAAAATATTTATTTAGAGGAGGCACATTGTTGTTGATGTCTGTGATACTGCAGGTTTTTAAAAATCTTCTTTGTATGTTTATCTAAGTTTATTTTTGACTGAATATAATAGACCCTACTGTAATTTGTCAAATACCACGGATTAATTACATCATTTGTGTGGGATTAGCTGTAAAGTGTACTGCAATAATTCTTCTTGTTCAGAATAGTGAACTGGTAGCCAAAAATACATGTATCACAGATGTTAGGTAGAATTTAAACAGCAGTCAAGTGCTATAGAAGTTTTTCTGCTAAATTAGTAGACTAAAGAATATTATACCTAAGCCATTGGGAGCAGCACGTTTTCCTTTGGTAGATAGAACCTTAACACTAGTGAACAGTGCCAGTTTCATACTTTGGATTTAGAACTGTTCTCTAGTTATTATAACACAATATACTGTAAATCCCTAATTTGCCTAATGTTACTTATTGGGAGTGGAGTAGTAAAGGGTGTAAAGGAAAGAAATCTAGTCTCGTTAAATACAGGCTATCCCCAATTTATAAGCAGATCATGTTGCAAAACCCTGTTAGGTGGTTGTTTGCAACCTGGAATGTATTTTCCTCTAAAAACCAGGTTATACATGGTGTTTAGGCCCCCAGAGCAGCTAGGAAAGATGATGAGACCCATCATTTAGCAGAATAGGATAGTATAACACGATGGCTAAAAAGCCTTAACCACCAAAAATAATATTGTTTCTAAGGAGTATTTGTTCAGAGTTGCCAAGAGTACATCACTCCTGTTAATGGAATCTGGACTGCCCACGCCAGCCACACGCCACCTTCCAGATGGTGGGGGTAGGGTCACCACCAGTTAGTGGAGACCAGCGGGGCCTGAAGCAGGGTCTCCAGCAAAGGAGGGGAAGAAGAAGTCCAGGGCCACCGAAGAACCTTGTGGTAGGAGGAGGGGAAGGACGATGAGGGGTCCTCTTGTGAGCCCGCCAGTGGCATTCCTCAGCTGGTATCCCTTCTTTTGCCTGGAGGTCTCAGGCTTGGCCTGACCTTTCTGTTTATAGGACCTGTTGCTCCTATAGGTTGTCTCTTCCCCTGCCCATTAAGAACAGGATGTTGCTGCATAACTTCTCCCGTGTGCCAGTCCTTGAAGTCAGCACACAGCACTTTTAATGGGTTTCGTGCTAGTGAACCATGGTTTAACTGCCTAGTAATCAGATCGGTGTAAAAAAGCTCTCTCCTGACTTTCCTTCTTTCTATTTGCAGACCCTGTTGAGAAAGGCACCCAGGGGGGATGGTCATGGGGCAGGGGGTGGACAAGGGACTGTGGTAAGTTTCCTGTGTTTGAGACGACACATCAGAAAGTCCCCCACAGCTGACTTCCTTCTGGAGTTGGACTCAAGCCTCTAAGCCAGTGGTTCTCACAGTGTGGTCCCCAGACCAGCAGCAGCATCACCCAAGGACATGTTGGAATGCAGGGTTTGGGTCCCCACCCCAGAACTAATGAAATCAGAAATGCTCAGAGTGGAAGCCCTCAGCCTGATCTTGATGCATGTTAAGTGTGAGAACCACTCCAGGTCAATTTGTCTCTCATTTCTTTCTCCCCATTAGTCCTACCTCAGAGTATGGTGCCTAGGAAATGCTGGTGCCGGTGTGCAGTCGACAAGGAAGGCTGCCTGCACTCGGGTCTGCCTGGGCTGAGGTGCACTAAGATGACATTTTTTGAAGCTGTGAAGAAATCAAAGTGAAGTGTTTTTGTTTTTGCGGAGAAGGAAAAGAAACACCCTTTGTAAAGGCAGCCTTAGGTGAAATACTGAATTCATGTCAGGAGTAAGCTCTCCACTGTGTTCGTGCACATTGTGTAATGATTGAGCCTGTCCTCCTTTTAAAGTGAATTCTCTAGAAAGGTCTGTACTGCATAAAGCATCTACAAACTGCTCAGAAAAGGATGTAGAGCTTGGCTCCATTTCAGTAGATCACAATGCAGGACGGCACATTTATTGGGGTGGGGAAGAGGTTGAGGGCATGATCAGATATTTGATCTTACAGCTCAGAGCAAAAGAGTTTCCCTCAGTTTATCAATGTAAATGGCTTGAGGCTTAGAAAGGGCAGAAGCTTTAAGAATAGAATTCCTCCATTCCACTTCACTATCAACTTGTAGCCACTCTCAAAACACAGAAGATACAGACTGTATCTAGTGCTAATAAATGGTTTTCCTGAGAGATGGCAGATCTGAGAATCCTTTAGCAACAGAACATACGTCCTCTAAAATATACACAGTGAATTATTTGTGATGACATAGGGCTTTCAGGTACAAATTGGGAATGGGGTGGCTAACAACTGAAAAATATCACTAAATCTAAAAGGGAAAGTTCTTGAAAATTGTAAAATTCACAAGGCTAGGTCATTTTCCTTTAGGGTGTTCTCAGAGGAAGGGCTGTGAACTGGGCCCATCTGTGAACTGGGCCCATCTGTCTACAGGCTTGAATTTGTGTTTTTAAAAGGAAGAATCTATGCAGCTGAGGTTTATTGTAGGAAATACTTCATTTGTATGTAAATATGTTGTAAATAAATAGGAGGCTGTATATTTTTGCAGTTGTTGACCCACACTGAAATAAAAGTCTGCATATCAAGAATCTAGTATTTGCATATCAAGAATAAATGTTGTCATAGATATTAATGGTTTTGTTTGGGAATTAGAAAAATTTACATTCTCACCCAGGTAACATCGTTCTCTCAGTGTAAACTTGGAATCTAAAACTCTTACCTAATTGTTTAGAAAGCAAAATGTCAGAGAAATAGTTGCATTGATTTCTTATACTGGTATTAAGATCAATTATTTAAGAGATAATCCTCTGAACTACAAATAAGGACTATTTAGACCCAAATTATTGTCATATAGAAATAGATATACCCAAAATGGCAAACTGTTTCTTCATAATGCTCTTTCGCTGTTAACACTGATACCACTACACAGTATTTATGAAAACAGAAGTTGGGGAGAATTTTTCTTTTCAAAATTAAATTGAACTGCTGCATTTCCCAAATTTTGGGATCTTTGAAAGGGGGGAAAAACCTGAACATTAACTATGAGCACAAATTTGAAGGACAAAAAAAGGACCGTTATCTTATCAGCTTTTGAAAGTCTTGCATGTTTGCCTCTCATTTTCAGTGTTGACACCAACATAGACTGTCTTAAGTCATTTTTTTCCCCAAACACTTGAATCTTGACCATTGGTACGTAATCCACTCTCCAGAGTCCAGTTCTATTTTAGACTTTATGTAAGTCCAGTATGTGTAGCACACCACTGTTTTATTAATGTAAAAACTTGTAAATGACTTTCAGATGAGTGATAGAAGTGAGTCACAAGTCACAAAACTTTGCTATTCATGGTTAATCAAATAGTTTATTTTCCCCCCAGGATGTGGTGTAAATAAAGAAATATAAGAAATTCTGTTCTATAACTGCTCTGTTAACATAGTTTTTAAACATTAAAAATGTGAACTAAAAGTATTTTTGAGTTTTACCTTCGTTCTTTTGGGATGCAATACTAAAATGGGGGGGCGTTTGATTGTTGGAGACAGATTTGCACACATTTGTCAGTGTTCTAGAACATTACATGTTCATGAAAGCTCATATTTATGTACCCAAACTTAAAAAAAAATACTTCTGATAGAAATCTATCCAATCTGAAACAGATTACATATTTCTCCATTCTTTGTAATCAGAGTAGGTTGAACATAATATTTTCTTTTTAAACTCAGTTTCATCTTTATGGATATCACTTTCTGTACTATGTTGTAATAGGGACTCTAGTCTTCCTCTACTCATATTGTAG